ACACACACACACACACACACACACACACACATATATATATATATATATATATATATATATATATGTATAATTTATATTATAATATTACACATTTGAATTTTACAGCTGCAAAATGTGTCTCATCCCATCATAATTGACAGTTGGCCAGTTTTACTGTGCTGAGAATTTTGTTTTTGTTACAACATACGAAACTGCTTTTGTACTGATGCTAGATTTATCATTTATTTATGAAACATTTATTCATGCATTTTATGCATAATCTTATATTTTGGTTTGTGTCCATTAAGTTTGAACAAAAGGAGAAAATAATCAAATAAAATATCTTTCATTTGTAAATGTAATACACTGGAATATCAGATTACATGGTTACTTCATATACAAACATTTCTGCTGCTTATACTGTGATATGCACCATAATCATGATAGGACATGACTCATTAAGGGGGTCCGAGACGAATGGATGGCCCGCTCATCTGAGGAGGAGTTTGGTCATACCTCACACTGCACAGAGACGTATGAAAACAGAAACAGCATGTGGAGCACAGCGCCTGCTGATAGCACGCTCCAAACCAATTCATCATCCCTGCGCTTATAGAGCTGTTGTGCTTCTGTACAGCACCGCTAGCCTACACACTCGCAAAAGCATTAAAAGCAACTCATTAAGTCTGCAGAGCGTGTTGCATCACAACAAAAACAATGTAGAGCTCGCTCCGGCTCATCAGCAACATTAGCGCTTTGTCAGCCAAACAAGCTAACTAGCTGCCTGCTCGTGTTGTTCGTCTTTTGCTTAAAAGCTTCTTACAGGTATATTGGGGATTGTTTTTTTTCCCACTTTCCCTGAGTGTGAACTTAATTACTCTGTCAAAGAAGAGGCTCATTAGCGCCTCGCTAAGACTCCCGTACTCTGGGAAACACCGCGGCACGCTCATCCAGCCGGCTAACACGCCAGCACCTGATAACAACTTGTTTTCCATTTAAACACCTTGCTTTTCCCTCTAAACAGCTTCTTCTTTCTTCATTAAGTAGACAGAGATGTATATTAAATAAATAAATAACTCCAGCCAAATATATAAATAACTGATGCTAAATAAAAATAATAACAATAAAATAACATCAGTTAAATGAATGCACAAGTAAATAAATAGATAAGATTGCAGAATGAATGAATTAATTAAAATATCTTCAGAAAAATAAAAGCACAAGTAAAAAAAATATTATTAAATATTATTATTAAAATATAAATTAATACTTAAATTAATCTAAATAAAATTACTTTATTTTATTTCAAATAATATTTGATCATATTTAAATATCTAATTTAAATTCAGCTAAATAAATACTTAATTTGTAAATGAAAAATAAATGATGCTAACTAAAAATAACTTCAGCTAAATAAATAAATCAATAAATTCAGCTAAAAAAATTAATTTCAGCCAGTTTTCCATTGATTTGCTCTTCATAGCTAGGTTTAATTCTAATTTCGGAGGCTGCACTTGAGCCAGGCTTGTACCCACACAACAAAAAACTAATGTTCTGCCATGACAGTAGTTGATGTGAAAGAGAAAACTAAATGTAGAAGACGGTTTATGCCAAAGCTTGCTACAGAGTCCCTTGAACAGCACATACTGGTGCAGGAACACAACGGCGCAGGAAATCGCAATGTAAAGTCTTCCCTATAGATCTGAAGCGAGCACATGGGGACAGACTGAACCTGCCGGATGCCGCTCACACATCCTGACGGAACTGTAAACTGTGGCAGTCTGACTTAATTTGAACTTCACTGCCAGGAGAGGCTGCCAGGAGCCGGAGAAAACAACACGATCAAAGTCAGACTAAATGGAGTCTTTCCTGCACCGGTGACGGCACTCACCACGGGCGTCTCCTCACATCATACAGGTCAATCTTGTTGGGCGCTCTCCACTTTGTGGCTACAGAGAGAACAGGACACACTCAGAGTTTGCTGGCAGAAATGGATGTACTGTGGTTTACAGAAGGGTTTCCTACAGAAGAGCTTTACCTGGGTAGTATCTGGTGACTCCGGTGGCGCTGCCGAACACCTGCCAGCGCAGCGAAGGATCCTCACGACTGTTTTCAATGAAGACCCTCTCCAGAGACTGAGTCCAGTTCAGCTCGTTCAGGATCGTGGGAGCTGCGGGACACACCAAAATCACACCATTATGACACATCATAGTCTGTGGACAAACATTTCAAACTGGACAAGCTTCAAGCATTCACATATGATTTCAATTTTGCTGTTAATTCATATATTTTCAGTCTTTTTAGTTATTATATACAATAATGCTCAAAATGGTGCAAAAAATTAGTAATTTTATTCAGCAAAGATGCATTAAATTGATCAAAGGGGACATTAAAGGCAATTATAATGTCTATTTCAAATAATTCTGCAAAGTTTTCCACAAAATATTACATGGTTTTATTACAGTATTTATTTTTTTCATCACTGATAATAAACAGAAATGTTTCTTGTGCAGCAAATCAGCATTTAAGAATGATTTCTGACACTGAAGACTGGAGTAATGATGCTGAAAATTCAGCTTTGCATCAGGAATAAATGACATTATTCATTACATTAATGTAATGAATACATTATAATTAAAATATATTCAAATAGAAAGCAATTATTTTTCAATTGTAATAATATATCACAATATTACTGTTTTTACTGTTAGCCTTGGTGAGCAGAAGAGACTTCTTTGAAAGACACTAAAAAAATCTTACTGATCTCAAAACATTTGAGATTTGATCGTAGTGTATTTTAATTTAATTTTCATCCTTATTATACAATTTGGCATCCTTTTTCTATATGTCTTTACATTTTGTGCTTTATAATACTATATGTGCTTCTTACAAATAAAATAGTTATTATTATAAAAAATGTATAATAATAATTGTTTGATTTAAAGGGGTCATATGATGCTGCTAAAAAGAACATTATTTTGTGTATTTGGTGTAATGAAATGTGTTTATGCGGTTTAAAGTAAAAAAAACACATTATTTTCCACATACTGTACATTATTGTTTCTCCTCTATGCCCCGCCTTTCTGAAACTGTATTTCCTCAGCGACCAGCACGGATCAGCTCTAGGCATGACGAAGCGGATATCGTCCTCTTTTGGAAGACCAAACAAAGTAGTTTCGCTTTCACAAAGAAGCACACAGCGTCTTCCGGATATGGCGGCGGCAACAATACTACAGTGAGAATAAAAGTTATGCCTTCTTTCTTTGTGTGAACATTTGGGCAGCGTTATGCAAATCTTCCCACAGAGCGACGTAGGTATGTTGGGGCGTGTTAGAACGAGCCGTTTTAGGTAGGTGTGGCTGACTCTTAACTTTTATAAAGAATATCTCTTTGGATTTGAGACTTTAGTCTTTGCAACTTTACAGATCTTCTTTATGCACCAAGAGCTTGTATCACTCCAAAGAGAAAGGAAAAATTGAAATCGCATCATATGACCCCTTTAAGACAATCCATAGAGGTGATCTGTTGAAGAACATGCTAACCGAAAGGGAATATGGCCTTTTAAACCGCTGACAAACAAATCTCCTTATATCCACAAACAATATCAAACCAAAAAACAAAAAGCAGATATTTCTGATAACAAGAGACACACACATCAGAACTCCATAAATATGGAAATATTCAGAGAAGCACTTGTGACTGTTGCGAACGGTGTCCGAGGAGAGCGTCCACACATCACGCCTGACCTTGAGCAAGGTCATCACTGTACGGAGAGAGAAACTGCTTGCTGCTGATCCACACACACTCTTAAAGGAGAAACCAGGAAAGGTTTTACAATAGAAGAAGATCTAGAAGATATTTTTATTCTCTAGTTCTGCATCTACAGTTTGTCCTGCTGCTTTAAAGAACCAAAGATGCAATATAACATCGAGAATTTATCAAAAAGAACAACTAAAGACACAATGACTATACCTTACCTGTTAGTATTTACACATTTTATAGGTGGCTGGAGATCATATTATTGGACACTATTTGTATATACTAGGCATGGGACGATAACCGGTTTCAAGGTATACCGGTTCTTAACTAAGAAAACTTAAATGAGAAAGAAGTCAGTGAATTGACTTGTACCTGAACTTTAAAGAGGACTCAACCCTCTTTTTATTTGTGATACTGTCTCAGTCTAAATTACATTCACACTAGGCATGGGACGATAACCGGTTTCAAAGTATACCGCGGTTTGGAAAAGTCACGGTTTCAAAACCACTCAAATTTTCCGTTATACCGTTCCTGCGGTATGCACAGTTTTTTTACGTGTCATCAAAGACAGAAAGTGCAGGACTCCCTCAGTTGTGTGCAGCGAAGAGTGTAGCGAGTCACACGACCCCTCCCCCTCCGGCTGGTGCGAGCGGAGTCACCTGTGTGTAGGATGGCCGAAGGAGATGAATCCCTGGATCTTTTTCCCCCGTCGAAAAAGACGAAGTCTGTCGTATGGGAATTTTTCGGGTAACGTAGACTAACCATGTTCCGTACACAACGATGAGCTGCAGGTTTATGCATGCATTTTTTATAAATTTTTTTATTTTATTTTTTACATGAATTATGTTTTGATTATATTTTTGATTATTGAGCTGCAGGTTTAGGCTCACTTAAGTGACTGCATTTTTTTCATTTATAGGGATTTTTTTTTTACAGAAAATAATTTATTTATGTTCTGATTATTGTTGAGCTGCAGGTTTAGGCTCACTTAAGTGACTGCATTTAATTAAGAAGAATTTAATTATTTATTCTAATTATTTAGCCTGACATGTTTACTGTTCCAAAATGTTCTATATGTTTCTTAAAAATAAAACGTGTTCAGTGGAAAATAAAAGTTATTTTTTTTTACCCAGACATTTAAAAATAACGTATTTTAGAGCTGTAATCGCAATACCGTGATACTGTGAAACCGTGATATTTTTATCTAAGGTTATCATACCGTCAAAATCTCATACCGGCCCATGCCTAGTATATACTCATCAAAACAGGTCATTTTTGATCCATTTTGGTCTTAGAAGAGGAAAACAGTACATTTTAAAGTTTAGACTTCCATTCAAAAGGTTTTTTTTTTTTTTATGAAGTCTCTACTGCTCACCAAGGCTGCAGTTATTTGATCAAAAATACAGTAAAACAGTAATAATGTGAAATATTGTTACAATTTAAAATGACATTTTTCATCAAAAAAATCGCGCGAATATGAATGTGGTTTAGCACAGCTCCTCAGTGAACAACGGCTCTGTGTAGTTAATGCTGCTCAATGTGAAAGCCCGCAGGTGATGGAGATTTACCACTGATTACAGAACCGGCTTTACTGATAAGATGCGCGTTAAATATCGCATGCGATTAATTGTTCAGCCCTACTATCTATCTATCTATCTATCTATCTATCTAGCACTCTGCACTTGTTAATTCAGTTTCAGAGACATTGGAAATAGCATACTAGCAGTCTCCTCATACTATCTCTGCAGTATGCATTATGTATACAGTTCCCAGTATGTCAACTTTTTTGTATGCATGGAATAACTGGAGGATCAACTACATTTGACAAAATGTGCATGCATGCATGCAACCAGAGAACACGAGACTGCATCACATAATGCAATGCAGTTCACATTTAGTGATATAAAATAAAAATTAATTACTTAAGTAAAATGAATAGATAAATACTTTTTAAATTTTTAATGACATTTATTTAATCAAAAATACAGCAAAATCAATAATACTGTTAAATATGATTACAATTTCAAACAGCAGATTTTTATTTGAATATATTTTATAATGTAATTTATTGCTGTGATGCAAAGCTGAATTTTCAGCATCATTACTCCAGTCTTCTGTGTCACATGATCCTTCAGAAATCATTCTAATATGCTGATTTGCTGCTCAAGAAACAGTTCTGATTATTATCAATGTTGAAAACAGTTGTGCCGTTTCATTTTTTTGATACATATACATTTTCAGGATTCTTTTATAAACAGAACGTTCAAAAGGAACAGCATGAAATAAAAATCTTGTATAGTACTAAACATTACTAACAACAGGTGAAAGTGCACAAATTCAAAATCTATAGCAGCTCTGCTCCAGATAATGTTTACTCTTATATTTAAGTAAGTGATGTTTAGGCGTGTGTCTTTGAGTCAAGGATACAGCGGTAGGCTCCCACACACACTGTTTACAGCATTATCAGACACACACAGGGTGGTATATGCAGATTCAACCTCACCGGAGTGGACAGCAGCTGACACACACACACACACACACACACACACACACACACACACATGATGGAGCTGCTGAGTCTCCTGCTCTACCGCTCTCCCAGAGGAGAGTCACTCTGACAACAGACCCTCCCTGATGCTCACTGAGTGTTAAGGCCTTCAACCTGGTCACATATCACTTTCACCCGGTCACCTCGGGCCAAAGCACACACACACACACACACACACACACACACACATACACACACATGGCTGTGGCAGGTCGTCTAAGCAGAATTACGAGGGCTGGGTAGATAAGGAAACAGACGCAAGACAAAGGCCCCAGTTGATTTATTTACCGAGGACGCGACGTGCACAGGACAATAGATAAAAAGAAAAATATCCTCCGAGGGAGAATTTGTGTGTGGCGGGGTCGAACTACATGGGGACCATCCTTCAAAATAAGAGCGTGTGTGTGTGAGAATCCATCACGCACAATCCCTCAGACACTTTTAAGAGCAGCGGTTGTGCTGAACGCTCGGTCTGTTATGGAGCAAAGCGGCACACGAGGAGTGGCCCAGGTTACGAGGCCGATTTATGGGGTGTGCTGAGAGCCAGAAATCCTTCATACCCGATCCCGTCATGCTTATTACTTAGCAAAACAGCTCCATGTGCTGGATGAGAGCTGTTCAGTGCGGCTGCTGAATGATGGAGGATATACAAATCATATACAAATCTGTAGTTACGAAAATGTGCACATAAAGAGGCTATATTTATGCTGTTCATTCTAGAATAACTGTTACGAACCATTTCATTAAATAAATCTATAAAATGGATAATTCTGATTCTAATTTCTGGTTGGATCAGAGTTCACTTTCATTATTGATTCAGCCAGATTTAGATGGATTTGTGAACCTGTTTGATCAACTCACTG